ATATATCAAACGAGAACAAGATCCAGTTGATTCAAATGTAAAAAATCAACAGAAGAAAGATTGATAATTTGCGATATTGAAGGGTAAATTTAATTTACTATATTGATTAGCTGGAGACTAAGTTAATGTTGCTGGCCGATGACCAAAACTTTAAATCCGAAGCGTCAAGTCAATAATCGATCTCCTGAACAAAATTTACAAGGAATAAAGAGTGAAAATCACAGTTCTAAGCTTAGATTCACAGATTACATATATAAAACCTTAAGCTTCTCATTTTGCTAGAACTAGAAAAGAAACAAAAAGAATTGAAAGATGTGGCAGAGTTTACCCATCCAGGAAAATGAAATTGAAGCCGAAGTAGGGCGTGGACTGAAGAATCCAACACCGTACCAAAATGCGAAGAATCAATAAGAATGTTAAATAGTTTTTCCAGGAGAAAAGAGGGGAAACATAAGAAAACAAAAGTCAAGACTCAAGAGTGTCACGGTAGGGAAAATACGAATAGAAAATAAGGAAATATACAGTATACTTACTCTACAATTGGAGTGTGACGTCCGACAACGACGACCGGCGAAGTTCACCGTTGGAGTCTTGGAGATTTGAGAGAAAATGAAGGAAGAGAGATTAGGGCCTGTGTTGTGTGCGGTGGGAGTGAAGTGCCTGAAGAGTGGATGGAGTGCGAAAATTGTAGGGCTTCTTTTCATTTATATTTTGTTTTTTTTGTTTTCTTTTTTTTTTTTTTACTTTTTAATGTTGGCGGTTCGATTTGGATTATACTGGGTTTGCTTAGTTAACCCATACCTCGACCCAACCCCAACCCATTAACCCAACCCAACACCCAAAACCCACCTAAAAACATCAAAAAATGGACCCAAATCGATCGGGTTGGGTCGGATCGGCTGGGTCAGTTTTCATGGGTTGGCTTGGGTTTTTCCCACCCTTAGATATAATAAATCTAGTAATAAACAGAAATATTTCTGGTGAGCTAGATGAACTATCTTTATGTTTGTAGGGATTGTGGTAAAGTTGGAACCAATTTATTTTTGAGCAAAATATGTTAACTCCACATATGGCTATTGATCATGCTTTTATAATTGCTGGTGAATTTTAAATGTGCACATAAGCATAGACAACAAGGGATCCATCATAGAAAATGGTGGAGTGCACCTCCAGAAGGGGTCCAAAAGTTTAATGTTGATGGGGTCTTATTTGAGGATCAATGTAGATATGGGATTGGGATGGTCCTCCGAGATGCAACAAGACAAGTGATTTTCTCAATTAGTAAACTAGAGATGTGCAGTATGGATCCAATGGAGGTGAAGTTTTTAGCGATATTGAAGGGCTTACAGATTTGCTTATCTTTGTCTATTCCGAATTTACAAGTAGAGAGTGATTATTTGTTGGTAGTCCAAGAAGTGACAAAAGCACAGGATGAATCCTTGTCCCTATGGAGAAATTTGATACATGAGGTTCGGCTATTAATGAACAGATTCCCGAA